ATATACCCGTAAGGGATTCCCTGTGCCGTGTCGTCGTTATAGTGTGAAAATTAAGAAGGCTTTCACCTATAACAGTACCAATAGGGTGGCCAAATGATGCTAGACTTAGATATTGAGGAATTCTATGTAATTATAAGTGTATATAGTTTCAAAAATCTTAATAAAGTACTAGTGTAACTGCTTAAGATTAAAAAAAAAATATATATATATATATATAATTTATTAATATCGATGTTATACTATAGTGTTAGAGGTATGTACTGTATGTTATCTATATACAATTATAAATATTTATATCAATATTAAATATAAAATTTCTCATAATTTTATTAGCTGAGCTAAACTGATATATATGAAATTATACAATATTAATAAAAAATTGATATATAAATTTCTTATGATTTTATTGGCTAAGCTGAACTAATGTACATAAAGTTATACAAACTTATATACAAAAAAATTGCTGTAATGTGTATTATATAGAATTATAAAAATTAACTAATCAAAATAGATTATTTCATACTATCTAGACAAATTTAAATTAATATAAGCAAACTTTATAATATATATAAGTATAAATTTTTTATAATTAATAAACTTTAAAATTTTATAAAAAGATATATATTATTTTAATATATATATTTAGAGTTAATATGAATTAGTTAATAGTCAAGCTTGACTAAACCAGTTCGACTAATTTGACCAGTTGGTCAAAGGGTTTAGTATTAGTCAAATTGGTCAAATAATATATAAAGTATATATATATTTATTTATTTATATATTAAAATTATTTATTTAATCATAAAACCAGTTTTTATCTTTATTGGATAATATGCCCATCTGACCAGCTACTATACAACCTTATTGACAGTTCTTTACAATATATTTTAAATACAAATATACTTGACACTACTTTAAAAATAATAACTAAACTATATTGCCAAATTAGATAACTGTATTGTATGACTATACACAACACAGTAAACCTACCATTAGTCTTTTCAACTTTATCTGACTTAGTGCTATATAAAATTATTTATATTATCTTAAATTTATCATTCAAAAAATTAGTTACAATATTTGTTATTAAATTTTTTTTTTTTAAAAAATATTAAGGTAAGTAGAGTTGGGCAATGGATATATCTAGTAATTTTTTACTAGACATTGGACATTTCCAAATTGTCTTATGCAATGTTCAGTATCCGATAAGGTGCAGTTTTAGTTGGCACTGTACAATGTCCAATAATTTTTCATAGAACAATTCAGACAAGTTTCTATTGTCCAATTATATTCAATAATGGCAAATTCCTAAATAAGTAGACTGAAATTATTGACTTTATTTAGAATTTATCTATTTTTTATTTTTTAATATTGATCGAAATTAAGTTTGCCATATCAATTTTTTTATATTAAAATAAAAGCTTCATGAAAATATTCACTTGCACACTACTGAATATATGTTTATATATGATATGCATATACACATCACATATTCTAGCCCACTCTAATTAGGTTTCAAATTACTTGATTAAAATTATAACTGTAAGGTACAAATGTTAAAAATATCAATCTGAATTTGAAGATCAAAGTAGAATCACGTAATTGATGAAATCAAGTACTTATATGCACTAACCAAATTAGTATTATACCAATAAATCAAAAAAAAAAACATATATTATAATGATAATATGCTAACTATAAGGCCCAAATAAAAAAAAAAGTATTTTAGTCAAAGTATTAATGATATATAATATAAATAAAATCGTGATCAACCATTAAATAAAAGACACATTGGTGATATGCTGAGCATAGATAAGAAGAAATTAATAAAAAATGAATACATACCCTATCTTGAATTATTCTATGTACAAGATACAGAATAAAATTTGATTATTATTCAAAAGTAAATATATACCTTAATATTTGATATAATGATAAGTATGTAATTTATATTCATGTGAAGTTTCTCATATAAAGCCACTAGACAAAATAAGGAAGTTAATTAAAGCCTACAGTCAAAAATGAAATTAAGGAAAGGCAAAAGCAATAATGCCAAAAGTGGAAAAGACTTAGTCTATATGCATAAAAATCTAAGATAAATTTAAAAAAAGCTTTGAATTCACAAGATAATGTAAAAAATTAATGTTAGAAATTAATGTTAGAAACTAAAAAAAAGGAAAAATTGTATGAAAATACTAGCCCAAGCCCCAATGCGATAAAATTTTAAAGAAATTAAAAATAGATTAGATAGAGCAAGATAAAATCTTTTCTGTAGTAATTGTAAAATATAAAAAGAAGTTATTATTAATAAAGTTAGTTACTGTGTCTTTTTTTTTTTGCTAAATCGCCAAACCTTTTGTTAATTGATCATATCTAGTATTTTAGTTTCATACAAATTATGCAATGCAAAGAAGGCAAGCTACTACATTCTCTTAATGAATATTTTTATATTATTTCTAATGAATAGGCAAATAAAAGTAACCAAAAATGTATTTGTCAAGCTTGTATGAATGCAGTAGGAAGAGAATTTGCTCTAAAAGATGATAATTTGAAAATTACAAATACTAAATGTTATTGTGCCAATCATCTTAGAGACTGTCCTTATTTTGCTACCAAGTATTCATCTGAACAAATACAACTCATTCTCAATTCTGCTACACTTTCACCACCAAACAAATAGGTAATGATATCTTATACAGATGAAAAAGATGAAGATAAAAATGATTCAACTTCTAGAATAATATCTTCTAATTCGTTAGCTTCTAGTAATACTTTAAAAAAACAAACCACATTATCCAAATATGTTGGTCGTTCACTTACTGCTTCAGAAATTTCTAAATTTGAATGTCTTGTACTTCGAGCAACTGTTTCAGCTGGATTTGCATTTTGGTGGATTGAAAATCCTGAAGTTAGAGAAATGTTCTACTTTATTCCTCCATATTTAAAACTGCCAGATTGAAAATCACTTAGTAATCATATATTAACAAGTGCAACTGATGAAGTCCAAGTAACAATTAAGGATCTTGCTTGTAAAGATAAGATTAGTATCATGATTGCTTTTGATGGTTGATGTAATTTTGTTAATCAGGAGTTAATAGGTGTAGTATTTATTACATCTTCGGGAGAAACCTTAATTTGGGAAGCAGAAGACATTAGTATAGAAAGACAAAGACAAGAAGAAGTAATTAATAGAATTTATGCACCTTTTAATCAAGCAAAAGAATTGGATATAAGAGTTAATTGTCTTGTGACTGATTCAGCTAGATTTTATGCAGCTGCTCGTTATTTTTTAAGACATGAAATATGTGATAAAGTATTTATTCCTTGTTTTGCACATCAGGTGAATTGTTGTGTTAGAGATATATTTAAAGAGTCTACAGTATTCAAAAATACAAGCAAATGTGCTCTTCATATTGTTTCTTTTTTTTACTATTCTGTATATTTCATGGCTAAACTTTACAATGAACAAATAAGTGTTCTAAAAAAATATATTAATTTCATTACTCCAAGTATAACAAGATGGAACAGTCATTTCGAATGTTTTGATAGTGTTCTTAAAAATAAACATCTATTAAAAGTAAGTTATTTAATTAAATTTTAAAATTTTTAATTTTTAAAAAAAAAAATAATAAAATTATTGATTTTTTTTTTTTTTAGACTCTTGTTACCAAAGATGATGTGGCCTCAGACAATGATTTAAAGCTTTCAACTGAAATCAAAATTGCTATTAACCATGATTCTTTTTGAGATTTTCTTACAATATTACATAAATTACTTCATTCTTTTTGTAGAGCTCTTGATCTTATGCAACATGACAAAGCTCACTTTTATAATGTTTTATATACCTTCAGTTTTTTTATGCAAATATTTAAAGAACTTGAAGAATCTCAATTTCAAACAAGAATTGTTGAAAGACTTGAAAAAAGGTAGGCTACATGGGAATAACCATTGCTTATTCTTTCTTTTATTCTTCATCCCTTATATAAATTGAATTATTTTAATCAAACACAATATATTAACTTTACTTATATGGGAGCATGGTTATCATATTATTAAAAAGTTTGGTTTGATACTGAGCCAAATTGTTTGCTTCGTGAACTTGAACTTTATAAATAGCAAAAGTATCCTTTTACTGAAAAAACCTTTAACCATTTTAAAGAAGATATAGTTCTTTGGTGGTCTTATAATTCTGGTGCTGCACCAGAACTGTGTCATGTTGTATGCCAATTATTTGGCATATGTGTTACAACTGCTTCTGTTAAAAGGCTTTTCTTAACAATGGGCTTTTTGCATTCTCCATTAAGAAATAAACTAAAGGCAAATTTAATTTAAATTATAAATTTTAATATATTAAAATTTTTTTATTATAGGATACAAAAGTTGTTGCAATGAGTTAACTTCGTGCTGAAATCTTACGAGCTCATAAAAAAAAATCAAACCTAATTATAGTCAATTGGATTACTCTTCCTCTGCTGCTCCAGTTTCTGCTAGTTCTTCATTACCTAATCAAGATCTAGAATTTGAAGAGACTAATACAGATGATATAAATGAAGAAATTACTTTAAAAATTAATTGAAATGTTACTATTAATGAGTAGAAAGAATTATTAATTGATGAAGAGTTTGAAGAAGAACAAGATGATCTTGATATTGCCGATATTGATTTTCTTAATTCAGAAATGCATCCTGCTGAAAATCAAGCTGCAAAATAGAAATTACACAATTTGTTTTTACCTAATTTACCTTTTCCATTTGAATAATGTATATTTGAATTATATAGAAATGTTAGTGATAGTGATACATAGTAAATTTGTTTAACAAGCATGTACATATGAATGTATGTATGTTTATTTAAAATAATAAGCTTTTTAAATAGCGATAATGCAAAGAAAAACATGGTTATATAGGGAGGAAAAAAAATAAAGTAAATCTAAATAAGTTTTGGTTTTTAAATATATAAAATGAAGTAAAAAAAAAACTTTGCATCTGAAGCTTTATTAAGCCTAAATTTTATAGGAAGTTTCATATTCTTTATAATTTTTACACAAGAAAAGTTTTTATTTAAGTGCTAATGCTGTAACGGGAAAAAAAATCCTAGTTGGTCTCTACTTTCTTTTGCTTAATAAATCATATCTGGTATGTATGTTGCATCTGAAGTAGCAATTTATCTAAAGTAGCCACTTTATATATATAAAGTAGTGCCTGGTAGTGTTTCGCACAGACCAGATCAGATGGATATTTTTTATAAATCTGGATCTGATCTGAAAATTCAATTCAGATCTGAATCTAACAGATCTAAACCAAGTTAAAATAAAACAAAAAACTGCTAAAATTTAAGATTAAGCAAATTTACTTGCAAATTTATATAATATACACTTTTAACTACACTATGCAGTACATTTAATGTAATTTAAAGTTATTTATATAGATTTAGCATTCAAGTGCTTTCCACCATAATTTTAAACACATTGCCATTCGAACTGTTTTTCTAGCTAATTTATTTTGTTTATTGGTTATCATATCTTCACTAACACTAAATATTTGTTCACTTGGAATGCTTGTAGCTAGTATAGCAAGACAATCCCTAGCAAATTTTGCAAAATTAAGATAACAAGCTTCATTCACTCGCCATCATTCTAGAATATCTATTTGTGAATCTGCACATGGCATCATAGAGTATATATTTAGTTCACTTTACTATTCAATATGTGCTCTTTTATAGATTCATGACATTATATTTGTTGCAAATAGCTCAGCAATTAAATCTTCTATATTTTGACTAGAAACAGATACGTATTGGCTTTCATACTTATCTTTAATTCTATAAATTAATATATATAAAATAAATTAATATATTTTTATTTTTTTTGCATAAATAATAACAAAAAAAATCTGTATAATTTATAGGTTTTCTCTTACTGCTATTAACATTTTTTTAATTTGAGAAATAAGTATTGACAACTATCCAAGCTCTTCAAAATAGTTAAATTTAAGTCTTGGGTCTAGTACTATTACTGCAAGATGAAATATATTTGTCTTATGACAATAATTTAAAAGTTTAGAAGTTGTGGTTTCACATCTTTGCATGAGACATTGTGGTATATTGTTCATTTGCTAGGTTTCTTTAAGCATTTTAAGTAACATATGATATAAAGGAACTGACATCGATAATGTTGGATAATTAGAAGATAACATAATAACTGTTGCTAAAAATTATAATTTATTGATATTTTAATAAAATTTTAAATTAATACAATATATAATTAGTATAATTATTAAACTAACTCTCTTTAAATAGTTGCAAAACTTTAATAAAAAGTTTAATTTTTTTCCAATCATTATCATTAAGAATATATTGTTGTAAGTCTACTTCTGTTAATGCCATAGAATCTAGTACCATTTGTAATACAATTGCTCTTTCACACATATCAAATGTAGAGTTGCATCTGGTAGCAATGTCAAGAATTGGCTTTAATGGACTTATTTTATGTATTTGATATATGATCTTTAATTTTTCACAATAGTTAGACGATTCTCTAATACCTCTAATCAATGAACATAGCTGAAACATTATACAATGATTTTTTTTTTAAAAAATTATATAATAAATGTAAATATATATATAATATATAGAATTTTATATAATAATAGTATTACAGTAAACAAACCTTTTCTAATTCACATCCAATATTATTTAACATTGTTTGTATAGCAAGATTTAAAATATGACCAAAGCATCATATAGATTATTGGGTACTATCAAATTGAAAGCCAAATTGTGATAATGAATTTGATAATTTTTCTAAAAACTTATTATTAGATGATGCATTATCATGTGTAATAGCCACTAGTTTTGTAATAATACCCATTGTTGTAAGACATTCATGCATTGCATCTGACATTGTGATTTCTGTATATGGCCTACTCATATGAATAAAATCAAGTAAAATATGGTTTAATTTCCATAAATCATTTATATAATGAATAGTAACTGCCATAAAGAACTTGTCATTAGTATTGGTTGTTCATATGTCAGTTGTTAATGCAACACTACCAGAAATTTTTTGTAATTTTTCACATAATCGCTTATGTTCTTTCTCAAAATCAGACACAATATGTTATTTGATTAGATCAGCTGAAGGTGCTATATATATACAGAAAATAAGAAAAAATTAGAATCTTATAAAGTAATATAAAGTTAATTACACTTTAACTCTAATTAATAATAATCGGATATATTAAAAGTCTCTATATATAACTTTATATAATATTATTTAAAATAATATTATATAAAGTTATATATAGACTTTTAATACACCTGGCATAACTATAACCTTAAAATATTACCTATTGCATCAGGTTTTAGATATATAAATATTGATCTAAGTTCAGTATCTTCAATAATTTGAAATAGTCGATTTTTTTTTATAATTCAATGTTTAACCATATTAATAAATTTGTCTCTATTAAATAGTTTGCATAAATTATTATTAATCTAAATATAAGTATTTATTTAAATTAGTTTTTTTTTATTTATTTTTTATTTATTTATTTATATTTATATAAAAACTTACACCTGACTTATTATTTAACATATCCACAACTAAGATGCCTTCTTTTATATTTAATTTCTTTAATTCAGATACTTTGGTCTTGTGAGAATTAAGGTGCCTTTTAAGATTTGATGTCGTTTCATGCTGGTATGCTAACTTCCGATTACAAATCCCACAAATTGCATGGTTTTCTTTTTTTTTGAAGTATTTCTATACAAAAGATCTATAAAATATATTATTAATACAATATATTAAACAATTATAACATTTTAATTACCTAGTATGTGTAAAATTACTGCTATTTGACTTTTATACTTGTGATAATTCACTAACTTCAGATTCATCTAATTGTAACTCTGGTTCATACTCTTTCTCATATATTGGTTCATGATCTTCCTCATGCATTGGTTCATGCTTTTTCTTATACATTGGTTCATACTCTTCTCTATGCATAGATTTATAATCTTACTCATAAGAAGATATAGACAGAGTTGGTATTACAAAGAAATAAATGCTCTTATTTCAAAAAAAAAAAATCATAAGACAAAACAAAAAAAAAAAAAAGGATCATATAAGACTTATTTAAAAGGATCGTATAAGACTTATTTAAAAGGATCATATAAGACTTATTTAAAAAATAATATGAATCTTGTTCTAGTGTTGGAGCAAGTATCGATTTTTTTTTATCATTTTGATTAGCATACTTATATATATTATTACTGACCAATAAGCGTACAGTATAGTATCAGATATTCAATTCAAACCCCTATGTGGATCTGAATTCGATGGATCTTATAAATCATAGATCCAGATCCGATCTGATAGGTCAGATCTAATTCAGATTCGGATCTTCAGATCAGATCTGCAGAACACTAGTACCTGGCTAAAATTAAAATCTAATGCATGCATAAAAATCTAATTTTAGAGGCTTAATTTTAGCCAGAAGCTACTTCAAATAAATTACTACTTCAAATGCGACATGTGTCATATAAATTTTGAGTTTAATAAATTACATTTTAGTCTATCTAATGCATAATTTAATTGGTTAATAACCATTTATATGTCCAGTTCAATGTTTATTGCTTTTGATTGGACAGTTCAGATACTATTTTTTGGACAAATTTCTATTGACTGAATTCCATTCATGCCAACCTTAAAGGTAAGTACTTGCAACCTAGGATTTTATTGATAGTATATTTGGCTAATGGTTGTATTACAACCACAAGAGGCAACCATGAGAAGAGTATACAATTAGCTACTTGTACAACTTTAGTTATTGTCTGATTTAAGTAATTTGCCTGAAGGTTCTACACTAGCTGCCATATCTGGAACCTGCTTGTAGGTTCCTTATTTAGCTATTCTGTTTCTATATTCACCCACTTACCTTCGTTTACCAATAACTCTAGCTGATGCTGGTAAAAATATGCCATAGCTACCAAGTTTTTAAAGCAGTTCACTCATATAAGAACCCTTTGACCTTGTACTAAACCTTCCAGAATCTTTTGTATTTTATTCTTACAACTAACCTGATATCACTATGGCTGAGACCAATACTAACAGTCAGGGCATACTATTAAACTACCAAACTGCCATTCCAGATAGCCCAGAAGGGTAGGTTAAAACTATATACTTCTAGTTTACATATTTGCCAACATGTACCTTTTTCCTTTGAAACCCAAAAATTCTAGTAGCCTGGTTATCCAGTTCCTCCTTAAAGACCAATACATTTGTCTAGTTTTACAAGTTCTAGCTCTATTTTATAAGTTTAGTCTTTACAGTAGCACTGTCAAAAGTTTAGATTACCTCTCTACTTGAATTTTTCAAGTGGGCTTTCATCTTCTTGCCTGGTTCCTGTGATTTATATAGCCTAAGAAATTATTTTGGGTTTACACCACCTAGTATCAGTTTGTGTTTCCTTATATAATGTTGTACAAATGCCTAGACCTTCCAGTCATGCTAGTATGATACAGGTTACAGATATTTTATCTTAACTAATCACAGAAGACAGTTAGTCATAATACAGAAAGAATTCCAAATTTTGTCATTACTGGAATTTGAACTCTAGACCTGCCATTTGGGATTGACAACCTAACCACTTCATTAGGTTATCACACTCTCTGTTATTAAATTTTTATTTTATCTTAACTAACAAATATATTATAAAATTTGGATTCCTTACTGTATTTCAAGATTAACATCTTATTCTCTTACTTTCAACTTACTCTCAAATTTTACTTCACATTTATTTCAATTTTTTCTTTTTAATTTAATTTATTCTAAAATTAACTTCTGATATATACAATAAATTAAATACCAAATTAATCTTTTATATATAATTACTAACAACCAAATCTAAGTGAGCCTTGGCCACTTTTGTTAGTTTAAGTTACAGATAAACTAGTCTGAGCTTCTACTCTTTTTATAATATTTTTAATAGTAAATTTATACTTTATATAAAAATTTTAAATAAATATTCAATAAAGATAGAGGCATGACCTTATCATTAATATTAAAAAAAAATTATTTATTTAATAAATTAAATTATTTGTTCAATTTGATCAAATCAATTTAACTAACAAATTTTTGATCAACCAGTAATTTGACCAATTCTGAATATTGTATCTTATTATAATAACAAAATAAATATTTTGTAATTCAGATTTTATTTTGTTCTATTATTATTATTTACAAATTCACTAATATGCAAAAAAAATAAAAAAAACTTAAAAACTAATATTCTAATTTATTATTTATTATTATTACTTTGTTAGTTTAAATTTTTTTTTTTGATAAATTATATAAATTTTTAGTGCTTGATATTACATTTATTGAGTTATTTAAAATAAATAAAATAATTTATTATTATTATTTTGTTGGTTAATTTTTGTTTATATTTTTTTGTTAAGTTTCATAAATTTTTAGTATGATATGTTTGTCACATAATAGTTGGATTTTTTTGGATAGTGATTTACTTGATCATCAGATTTGTGTTGTTTGGCCAAATTATACATATACACTTAATTTTGCCAAAATGGTATTGTCTTATTAAAAATTACAAAAATATCAATTTTTCTATTATTTGACTTAAAAATATCAATTTACATATAATTAACATATATCGATATTTTTTACTGTTTCTGAACACAGTATCCCAGATCATGTTATACAAAAAAATTTTAAGGCATGTCTATAGAGCTAAAAAAATTTTTGTGTCTCAATCATGTAAGATAACTTTCTCTAATTGGTTAATCACTTACAATTGTATTTATACAGTTTAACATACTTTTTAAGAATATAACATTTCACAAGTAAGAAATAAAAATTAAACTCATTGCTATCTTCAAAAAAACACCAATGACTACTATGAAAAATAATCCTGCACCTAGAAGTACCTTACCTAGAAAGTGAAATTTCTATGTAGGTTGTAACTATAAAACTATATGTAATTACTAAATCATTAAATATAGCTGAGTTATTTAAAGAAAACTAACAACTCTCCCCGCTGATCACTTGTACACAAAACTGTAGGAAAACACTTTAGAAGTTTGCTAAAAAACGGCTGTCAAAA